GAGTTTAATCATAGTTTAATCTATAATATTAAGGAAATTAAAGTGTGTACGAGAGATAGAGAGAGAGAGCACATGGTCATCAAGTGTTCAGAAGCTCCACTTGCAGTCAAAACATGTGAGTTTGTCTTTCTATGCCCAGTAATCTCACCGTCCCCTCAACACACACTCCAAACTACAGAGATAAACACACACACATACTCTGCTGTGTAGAACTTTTCCTGGGTTCCACCTCCATCTGTGGCATTTTAAAGCTCGGTTTCAAACCAAAAGTACTCAGTTATGTGTTGCTGAAAAAACTCTTAGCTACCAATTCCCCATAAAATGACGGATTTAACCTATAGGTCCCTTGGGGAATCAGTGGAAATCTAAGGCAATGGCTGAACATGTCATGTGACTGATAACTTGTGATTCATATATTGCTTGCAAAGGGCTTTTACACAGCAATTATAATCTAGCTCCATTGTGCTGCTTTGCACATCTCACTTGCAGCGAACACAAGGCGTGAGAAATGTTGTAACTACGGCAAGAGCATATCCAACGCTGTGTTATGACAGAAACTGTTGTGAAATGCTTAGCATAAACGCTTAGGTAAGGGCGAGAGATAAGATGTTGTAATGCATCTTAAGGAATCCCTTGCCTCAGGGATGTTTGGCCCAAAGATACAACTGCTTAAATTCACGTTCCCTTGTGAAATAGAAGTGCACTTTAGCATACTTTTAAATCGAGTACTTATATACTTTACAAGAATATACCTAATTGTGAACTGAATGTAATGTTTTCAGATACTTCATTGCATGATAACTGCAATTAAATGAAAATGTATAATAGTTTACATGTTATTCAGCACATCAGAATAAGTGTACTTCTTTAAAACATGACTAAAGTTTATTAAAACATAATGATTTAAAATGTACTTTAAAGAAAAACTTTTAATTTGACTTTGCACTTTTAAAAGTGTACTTAAGTGTGTTAAGAATCATAGTCATTAAAGTGTCTCTCTTTAAGTAAAGTTAAGTGGCCTTTTATTTCATTAATGTTATATTATATTATCTGCAAGTACAGATTATTTAAAAATACTAGTGCAGTCAAACGTTTAATCGCGATTAATCGCATCCAAAATAACGTTTTTGTCTGCATAATATATGTGTGTCTACTGTGTATATTTATTATGTATATATAAACACACGCATGCACATATGTTATGTTTATATATTAAATATATTTATCACAGAACACACATATATATTACGCAAACAAAAACTTTTATTTTGGATGCGATTAATCGCGATTAATCGTTTGACAGCACTAAAAAATACACTACTAAGATTTTAAGTACACTACAATTGCACATGCAATAAAATTAAGCACACTTATTTTTCACAAAGGATCATTTGAAATTACAGAAATGACATTTTCTCTTCTCCAGTGTGTCCTTCTTTCCTTCATGAAACACAAAAGTAGATGTTGAACAATGTCACAGATGCTCCTTTCCAAGGTGGATGGGAACCAAAAAGCACAAAAGCAATCCATATTTTGTGCGCATATGAAAATAATAGTGGCTTGGGATGACATGAGGGTGTGTAAATTGACTAAGATGTCACATTGTGTGAATTATCCAAACACAGAAAACAATTACAGCTCAAGCAAACCTGCTACCAGAGCCCTCGCTCAGATTTCAGCACTTGTTCACGACCCACAAGATCGACGTATTACCGGGGTAACACAAACACTGACAATGTGTCTGAAGTAATCCTTCTAAAAGCGAGTCACTTGTGTCTGCTGTGTGTATCACGCCACCAACAGCAGGAAACGGCTTCACCACATCAACTTGACCGCTGTTCAAAAATGGCTAACTCTGGTTTTGAGAGCTCACATGCTGCCGCTGGAACGGCTCGGAGATGTATAATATAACTACCGCCCAGGCTGATCCTGGAAAGTTGGATTAAAGGGAACTGGGTGATTTACGATTTGCAAAGAATCTGGCTCTAGTCAGCGTTCGCCAGGGGAGTGAGAACGAGGCTCAGCTCAAATGAACCAAGTCGATCTGGAAGGCAAGTTGAAGAAAAAGACTGTTGTGGAGTTTCTGAGAGACGGAGAGATGGATGGAGAACCGGCTCCTGGAATAAGGTGAAATCCATCCCTTTGACATGAAGAACGCGCTTTGGGATGAAAGTGTTTGATGAAATCTTTCAGAAAATCAGCGGTAATTACTAGTGGCTCGGATGAAGCACTTTCAGCAAACTGTGGTTAAATCTGGGAGGTTGATGTAAAGCTAAAGAGCTTCTCGAGTGATGTAACATGGGACTTTCCAATGGGAACATTTAGCCATAATCAGTGCAAGTGAAACATTGTCACTCTACACCAACCAGCATATTTAAAAGGACAGTTCAGCCAAAAATGAAAATGTAATTTACTCTCCCTCAGGCCATCCAAGATGTAGGTGACTTTTTTCTTCGGTAGAACAGTAAAGAAGATTTTTAGCTGAAACTGTGCTCCTTGGTGATTCATAAAATGCAAGTCAGCGGCTACCATCAATTTGAGAGCCAAAAAGGCATATACATGCAAGAAAAATATAACACCCATGGCTCCTGATGATATATTGAGGTCTCACGAAACAAAACAATCAAGAAACTGAACATTATTTACAACATTATTACCTGTAATCCAGAGCCTCAGGCAAATGGTCTGGAATGATTCACGAACAAATCGTTCTTTTGAACCGACTCTTTTAAGTGAACTAGATGAACCAGTTTACCAAATCGGACTGATCGTCTGAAACCGATCACGGCTCGAGCAGCAGATCTACATGTTACTCAATCAAAACTCACTTTCAGATGCCTGACAGTCACTCCGACTGGAAATGAGCTGGAATAGTAACGCATCTGATCCTGTGATGAATGAACTGATTCAGTGCTCCAGCTCCTGCAGCAGTCATTGAACTGAGAAAACAGTTCGGCTCGGACCAAAGAGCCGCTGATACAAGCATGTTTATATGCTTTAGACATGTAAAACATCCACATTTCACATCTTTATTGTATAATATAACAATGTAATTGCGTATAAGTGACGTGATTATGTAAACAAACTGGTGAGTCGGTTATTTAAACCAGTTCATTGAAACGAACTGTCCAAAAGAACCAATCTGTGGAATCAGAAAGAATTAGACTCAAAGAATCAGACTTCCCCATTTGCCTGAGGATCTGGATTACAGGTAATAATTTTGTAAATAGCATCTAGTTTCTTGTAGAGACTGATGGTTTTGCTTTATAAGACCTCAATATATTGTCAGGAGCCACGCGTATTAATTTTGTGTTACCTTTTTTTGATTCGGGTAGCCGATTACTTGCATTTTATGAATCACCAATTTTTACGGTTTCAGGTAAAAATCTTCTTTTCTGTTCTACTGAAGAAAACAGTCACCTACATCTTGAATGGCCTGAAGGTGGGTAAACTGACAGCAAGTTTTCATTTTTGTGTGAACTATCCCTTTAAAGCTAAAGTGTGTCATTTCACCAAACAGAATAGCAAAAGCATGAGATTTCCGAATCCTCTCGTCATGCACCACAGTTCGGTTAGTCCTGCTCCAAACTCACACCATTGCTGGCTGAGTGGATCATCTGAGATCATTCCCAAACACATGCGAACTCCATTTTAGAAGTTGAGGTCATTATACAAATGGTAAATATTTGGTATTAGAAAGTCTAAAGCAGGCTGAATGAGATTAAACTCTGATTAGCCCATTTACAAAGCCAGTTAAAGGAGCCACACATTAGTAGCATTTCATTTACGTCATTTGCAATAGTAGTTGGGTTTTTTGCACCACAACAGTCACAATTTAGTTTTTCATGAGAACTTTCCACCCTCTCTCTGACCCGTAAAATTAATCATGCTGATTTTGCTGCATTTGACAAATGACCTCTGTTATGACTGGCTAACCTCCGTGTCCCAGCTCTCGTTCATTAGAGACAGCCAAGTTATAAATACTGAAAAGAGACTGATATTTAAATATGACTATCATATGTCTATGAGTTCTGAAGGTTATGAATATTTCTACATCAAACTATGTTATTTGCCTTGTGAAAAGAAGTGCACTTGATTGTACTGAATGTGCACTTGCAGTTAAAAAAATCTTTAAAGTATGTTTTTAAACACTGTACTTACAGATTACATAATACTACTTAAATAAAAGGTCACTTAAGTGCACTTAAAAAGAGACACTTTATTTTTTCACTTTAAAAAAGTGCACTTTGTAATAACGTAATACTTTAATAATGCACTTTGTAATAATGTCACATTAAAAGTTTTACATTTAAAAATATTATGTTTTAATAGTCTTTTGTTGTGCTTTAAAGAAGTTCATTTATTTAATGCGACTAACAAACTAAAGCAAATGTAATATACTTGATTATAATTTTAACTGCAGTGTGTTATTTAAAATGACGTTTAAATCAATCATTTACCACTAAATTGCAACTTCATCATTATTACAAATGTGTAATTACAAATATATTTAAAATACAAGTTTCAATAGAGATGGCATTAAAGTATATTTTAGTTTATCATAAAGATGCATAAACAGTGTATTCAGCCGTAACACTTTATTTCAAAGACAATAGAAGTCATTATGAAATTGCATATAAAAATGTACTTAAGTCCTACTTAAGTGGGTCAAAAAGCTCTACAGTTCAGCTAATTGCAGTCAACATAAATTTAAACTGTAACACATATTTTTATTTAATTGCACTTAACATGCAATTAAGTGCCTGAAAACATTCAGTTCGCACTTTAGTAAATTCTTTTAAAGTATATTATTTCTATAATAAGCAGGCCTATTCCTTTTAAAAGTATGCTAACGTTTAGGGTTTAAAAGAGACAATTTTCCATGATTTGTCCCCATCAAACTTTCAAATCTAAAGCTTAATGTTAAAAAAGAACCACCAGCAGCAGAAAGCAAAAGCCCAGATGCTACATTTCTTCATCTTCCATATTGCTGGACTCACCTGTAGGCTGCACCTGCGGTACTCTCTGTCTCGTCCAGGGCATCTGTAGTTGTTGGCAGCCCCTGGAGGCCTCCGGTCCCTCTCAGCTTCGTTTCTGGAAGGCTGGGCAGCGTTCTGCAGGACCCAGGGCTCGGGGTTTGGGTTTGTGGGAGTCTGGAGGCCGTAGGGAGGAGGCTCTCTGGGAGTGTGTGATCGCTGGACGGTGTGTGTGTAGGAGTGTGGGACTTGGCGAGAAGAGCGTCCATCGACGCGTCTGTCGTGGGCCACGTGTCTCTGGGTCAGGGGCTGTGTGATTCGCTCGTGTTCCCGCACTCTCTCCACGCCTCTGTGTGGCTCTCCATCACTTGTTTTCTCGGCTGCAACATCAGTCTCCACGTCTGCTGCCTCCGTCTCCTTTTCCTTCTCCTTTTGTTCTCTATTAACAGTGTCTGTGATCATTTGTTCTACTTCTCCCTGTGTTTTATGCACAAGTGCGCTGGAGTTCACACTGAGAGCATCCAGACTTTCTGTGGTGGTGGTGGTGTTGTGGCGGCGTGTGTGTCGAGCGTGACGGTTTTGTCTGTGTAGGGGAAGAGAGAACGGTACCCTGCCATACCCAAACTGTCCGGGACGAATAGAAGAACTAGACCTGGTGTGACACGGACAGAAAATAACATATATGAGTACGCTAGAATAGATAAACACGTTAGACATCAAGATATCAAAGCTAAAAGAACAATAAAAATCCCTTTAAAACAGCTGATGTTGAACAAGGTTTGTGAAAACCAATTCCTTGTATTTTCACTTTACTCTAAAGGCCCGTTCACACCAAGAATGTTAACTATAAAGTTAAATACAGAGTTTTGGCATGAAACTCTAGATGGCGCAGTCCGATAAGTCTAACTCAATCTGACCTAATGACATCATTATCACATGGCACAGCTGATTGGTTCTCTCCTGTATCGGTAGCCAATGAGCTCGCTGCTCAACATTCAAATATATGACTAGTGCTTGCCGTAGCATTTGCAGCTTGCTTCAGAAACCCTCCACCTTCCCCAGCTCCACCTGTATAGATCTGCTATGAGGTGATTCATGTATGCTATATGGGGGGTATTTCATGTATGTTATATTTGCAGCAGCAGTATTTCTTACATGCTCACAGCAGCATGTTGTGGATGTATTGGCAGTAGCAAGTCTCGGTACTTGCTCTGCCGCAGCAGCAGCAGCAGTGTAGCAGATCTATTCCGCCAAGACCAAATACATTAACATTGTCATGTACATTACCATGCCATGACAGAACTATATTAACATCCACACCAGCGAACGATATCAGTTATTTATTCGTCTGCTGCTTTAAATTCTCAAGCTTGTGATAGCAGGATTGATTTTGATTGGGTGTCAAAGTTTGTATCGTTCATCAGCTGGAACAATAATGTTCTGAAAGTGATTCCAACGATATCGCTTTTCTGTGCCTTGATCGTTATAGCTGTGGTGTGGACCCTGCTATTCTTTAATATTGAGAACGATTTTTAGAACGATTTATATCTTTATCGTTATCGTCCTTGGTGTGAACGGGCCTTAAGTCTTGTTTTATCCCACAGAAAGACTTTTAAATCACACTGGTTTTCTTTAAAAGATTCAAAGTTAGACCTTATTCAGTGATTCAACAATGAACCCAATTCTCTTGGCATTCACATTGTTACTCAACTTGAAATTGTATTTTTAGTAGTGCTGTCAATCTCGATTAATCACATCCAAAATAAAAGTTTTCGTTTACATAATATATGTGTGTATACTGTCTATATTGATTATGTATATATATATATATATATATTTTTTATTTTTTTTTATATACAAATACACAGTACACATACATATAAAATGTAAACAAAAACTTTTATTTTGGATGCGATTAATCGCGATTAATTTTGATTAATCAGTTGACAGCACTAATTTCTAGTTGTGCGATTGGGTCTCAACCTACTTATTTCTTCAAGTTTTATATCATTTCAAAATACACTGCCATTCAAAAGTTTGAGGTCAGTATTTGTTTTTGAAAGAAATTGAAACTTTTATTCAGAGAGACAGCATTAATAGACCAAAAGTGGAAGTATTTAACATTTATAATGCTAAAAAAGATAAATGCTGGAAAAAGGAAAATGTATCACGGTTTCCACAAAAATATTGGGCAGCACAACTGTTTTCAACATTGATAATAATCAGAAATGTTTCTTGAGCAACAAATCAGCATATTAGAATGATTTCTGAAGATCATGTGACACTGAAGACTGGAGTAATGATGCTGAAAATACAGCTGCGCATCACAGAAATAAATTACAGTTTATAATATATCCACACAGAGAACAGTTATTTTAAATTGTAATAATATTTAATATTATTACAATTTATATTGTTTGTTTTTTTTTGATCAAATAAATGTAGCCTTGATAAGCAGAAGAGACTTCAAAAACATTAACAAACCTTACGAACCCAGAACTTCTGAATGGTATAGTGTAATGCTGATATATTGAAGACTCAGATTATTACACAATATATGTAGCAGTTAGAAATGTTTGCAATTGCGTGAATATAGAAAAAGTGAATATCTACATTCACAATGCACAATTTAAGCCTATATTGGCCACTAAAAGTCTTGAGCATGTGCAGTAAAGGACAAAGCGTCGCCATTTTACTCAAGCAAGCAGCACTTTCAGACTGTATATTTTAAATTTAAATCACAACCTTTTGTTGGACATATTGCCATATTTATCATGCAACCCAAGCTATGAATATGTATGCGAATGTAAACAGGAAGGTCTTCCCTAGCGGCGACCAGTCCTGCTCACCTTCTTACAGATGCTGGATTCCTATTGGTGGAAACCGACCTCCTGCTTCCACTGCCTACAGCTCTGCCGTGATTGGGCGACCGTGCGGGAACTCTCCCGTAGGGAAGTGAAGCGGATGAGGAAGGTGAACGGTACACTGAAACCGGCTCCTGATTGGGTGGGCCGAACTGCATTGGAGCAGCGCCGTCGGCTTCGTTTCGGTAGAGCGGTAATCCAGGATTGGGATTGGCTGGGAGAGGCGGGGAAAAGTAAGGAGGCATCTCAGCGCCCCCTGCTCCAAATGGAGGGGGCTCGTTGACGGGATACAAGGAGTTGTAGTAGGGTCTGACCGCAGAGATCACAGGGGTGTTGTTTGGGACACCTGGTGGAATGTAAGCCGGTCGGTTCCACATAAGAGGCGGAGTTTGGGGAGGTGGCATACACTGTCTCCGCCTCTCAGACACGCCCACTCCGCAGCTCTGAGAACACTCCACCCACTCGCTCCATGGACCCCACACTCCTTCAAGCGCCTCCTCTTCTGCCTGACGAGACTTTCGTCCGGCCGCCTGTCAGAGGAAGGCCTCATGATTAGTCAGTAAATATCCACATGCAGCATATGCACAATACTGATACTGTATATACAGTGGGGTCCAAATGTGACCCTGGACCACAAAACTCATAAGGGTCAATTTTCTGAAATTGAGATTTATACATCATATGAAAGCTGCCTAAATATGATTTGCATTGATGCATGGTTTGTTAGGATTTGACAATATTTGTCCGAGATACAACTATTTGAAAATCTGAGGGTGCAAAAAAATCTAAATATTGAGAAAATAGCCATTAAAGTTCTTAGCAATGCATATTACTAATCAAAAATTAAGTTTTGATATGTTTACAGTAGGAAACTTACAAAATATCTTCATGGAAATCCTAATGATTTTTGGCATAAAAGAAAAATCGATAATTTTGACCCATGCAATGTATTATATTGCTACAAATACACCTGTGCTACTTAAGACTGCTTTTGTGCTCCAAGGTCACAAATATCTAAAAATCTGGGATTCAAAATCTCATTTCTTTTGAAGCCCAATGCTATTTGGATCATCTTAAATCATGCTGGAGAATATGATCGTTGGGTTTTGTTCATATAGCTCATATTGCTATACTGCATGATATTCTCAAAGTCATGTTCATTTCTGAATTTACCTTTTCACTCAAATTTTTGTGCAGATAATGCAATTTTTGCATTAAAAAAATCATAATAATTTAGAAAAGTTTCAGACTCAGACCCTGCCATCCACATGCACAGTTGTAAAAACAAACATCTCAGACAAATGCACAACCACAAAACCAGCCCGGGTGCATAAACTGAAACCTAATAGCAGCCGTAATTAGAATTATTTAAAAAGAAGTCTGATCAATGTCAAATTACATAGTGCAAATCACAAGATTAAACAAGCAAAGCATGAACAATTGTTTAAAAAAAAAAAAAAAAAGAATAATTCCCCAAACCACACCCGAAAACATTCATGTTGAAACACATGTCCTGTTCTATCGTGCTTGGTGATGAATGACATTATGACTAAGAAAGAGGCATTATTAAACTAATGGCGTGTGCTGCATTCAGGAAGAGGCTGGACTCTGGAGTTCAGCCCAGTGCAATGACATTCTTTACAGTGCTGGACGCAGATTTGATCTAATTCCAGTTACTTATATAACCTCATTTCATCAATCAGGAGCGAAGAACTCGAGCGTCTGCAGGGCAGGCAGAGGTAGAAGGGAAGAAAGCAACAAACAAAAGAATCCATTCAGTTCACAAAAAAAGAGAGAGAAAAAAGGACAAGAGAACAAGGCCTGTAATGCACCTCTGATCCTGTCTAAACTGCCATCAAGGTCACACAACGCCAGCCTGTGTCTGCACTGATGTGTGTGTGTGTGAGTGTGAGTGTGAGTGTGTGTGTGTGTGTGTGTGTGTGTGTGTGTGTGTGTG